AATTTCATTTTTAGATGTGCTATAGCATTTCAGCAACATTTACAAGGTTAATCTTCCCGAATTTTCCATGAGCTACTTCCTGGAGTTTTCCAATAGAGAGGAAGAAAGACTGTGTTATTTAAGAAGAGACACTTAGTGGTACTACTTTATGGGAGCAAACCTGAAGGGCTATCTTTTCCTGTAGTCGTGTCCATTTTCCTGCTCCCCTGCTCCCAACAATGTCTTTTCATGCTTTTAAATTAGAATAGAGTACCTAGTGAAATATGTAAGTGCAGTATTTTTCTTAGTTTCTAATAGTGCATTCAGATATAATAATAGAAGCAATAATATACAGTAAAAACATGACACTGTTCGAACTGACAGGAAAAAGTATTGCAACTATATCATAGTTGTAATTGTAAACCAACACTTTCTTGGTACTATATTTTTTAAAATACTTTTTTCTGCTACATGGTGAAAACGTGGGCTTTTATATGAGAGTGTAGATGGATTTACTCTTGCAGATTAGTTGTTCTCTTTTTGGTATTTCATGTGGCAGAGCTAGCATGAATGAATTACAGAAACTTGAAAATAGTGAATGTAAGTTTCATGAATGAGAAAAATTATGTACATGGCATATACTCACTTATAATGTGTGAGAAAATAACTCCTTAAGGTGCAAGCTTGCATGTATAGACTCATAAAAAAGGAAGTAGACATTAACAAATTAGAGCCTTAGTCATACAAAGAAAACATAGTGTGTTATAAAAATAACATCTACTAGATTTACATTTTAAGTAGCCGAAGATATTAAGAAAACATGGGGAAGTGGGCTTTTTTTGAGAGGGAGATGGGGACTCATAAAATAAACAGTAAAATGAAAGTGTTCCTTCTTTCAAGGAAACAGTCCAGAAGTTAATTTTAAATAGTCTTTTGATAGTCATAATTCTCTAGCTCATATACAAACTCAGGCTGGTGTCCCACAAAAAAATTCAATTATTTAATTTAAGCTACGTTGGGGGTTTAATTGGAGCCATGTTATTCCACTTCAAAATTACTGCAACACAATTTGTATTTAATACATTATCAGAAAGAAGCAGCATTTTAATCAGTTGTCATGCAGAATACATCTACAATGATATGTAACAATGTGTTCTTATCCCTGTTTACACAGTATCTTTTTTTAAAAAGACTGTCTTTTGCAAAAATATAGATGGCTTGGAAAAAAAGAAGAAAATATGAATTGTTATTTACATGGTAACATGTTTTCACTCTCCATTTTTAGAGATTTTCACTGACAAACTGTCAAAGCCTTCACAGTTATATGAAGAATTTGTTCCTTCCTATAAGAGAACAAGATGTTTCTGCTGCAACTAATGACGACATATTTAATATTATCTAACATTAGATAAAACATAACTGAAATAGGTACTTTGCTGACAGGGTAATTGAGGTAAACAGAAACTTAAGAACTTATCTCTATTAGAGTTATCACTTTGTTCATCACTGTCCACCACAGTATCAAAATGGCAGGAAAACCATAAACAATAAAGAAGATGGCAAGGCAATGTGTAGATGAATAAAGAACAACAAAAAAACCCAAAACCCACAAAACCTGCGAAGTAGTTCAAAGGTGTGATTTATAAATATTAAAAATTGTTTTGGAGAGAATAAAGATGATGTAATGCAAAAGGGGGGGATCTTGAAGTGTACCACATGCAAAATTTTTAGGCGCACTGATGTTGCAAATATGTAGGATACTCTATTTTCAGTAATTCTTCCTTTCTAGAACAAATCCAATGAAGAACATGGAAAGCTCTAATGCATTAAAGCATACATACGGAAATCTCTTGCATTTTTCATACTGAAACATTTCAGGCTGAATAGCAGACAAACTGATTTGATTTCTTCCCTATATATTTTATAATATACATTGTAGAAGACTGTATAATATGTTAAATATTTTCTAAGAGTTGGATAGTATACTACATATTAAGTAAAAGCCACTAAAGCCCTAAACATCGTGTCCTTGCTAAACAAGGTAGGGTTCTTCATGCTAGGCCTTTGCAGAAGTACACCCAAAGGGAAACCTACCTTGCTGCTTATTGCAACAGCTGTGCTAAGTATTGTTATCTCAGATAGAGCGTCGATTTGCACATGAAAGATATATAGCACACGGTTTTGTGAAAATACTTAGCTGACTGTTTCAGAGAAGTCTTTCCTTACTGATGTCATATGAAAGAGAGTTTCCCCATGGTCTCCACCCATTCTTAAGAGAGGAACTAACTTCACAGTACAAGACATCAGAGGCACATCCTTCTGAGAGATTCTGTAAGTCTCCTTAGACATCAGCATTTGCTAGATAAAGCAAAATGTTCTCATGGAACATTTGAGAACTCAACAACTTAAATCAGATAATATCCCATTCAATAAGAGAGGAAAGACTGGCCACAAAACTTTTTTTTTTTTTTAATACTTCTAAGCCTCCTTTCCAGTGGAACAAAATGAGTTAAGTTTTCATAAAACAGGGCTAATGTTAGCCTACAATGTCACTCAATAATATCAGAAGTGGAAAGGAGAAAAAATTAGTGGCAGGGGGAAGGTGCCAGAAATACTAATACTGATTAGCTCCAAAGATAATTTAAATTCAGTCATATTCCTCATATCTTCTATGTAATTTGTTTATATTTTTGTATTGCATAATGAAAATTCTTCATACATCATCTGATCATGGAAATCTTAAATCATTACAAGATTTAATTGACTAAAGTATTAAGAGTAAATATTAAAGTCCATAGATGACATTAACTCTTCTCAGACCATTTCTATGGGGATACAAATGTATGCAAATATCTGGGAATTACTCAAAATAAAGGAAGAAAAATTCTGTTGTTTATAAAAATTTGCAATCTGAAGAAGCAGCTATTAAAATAATAATGTCACAATCAGGTTATAGTTGTCTTATTTCCAAATGCTTTCTGAGAGAACAAGTGTGAATACAAAGCAGGATTTAAGAGATATATTGAGATCATATTACTACCAGGCATTTAAATGAGCACAGCCAACTGATAAAATCTTAAGCTATATAATATTAAGGATTTATGCTTATTTACTTTGGAGAAAAACATAACATATGACCTGTCTGATAAAAACAGAATATTTAAATATCTGAAAAACAAGCTACAGTTCAAGTATGTTACTGTTTCCGGAATTATTCAGTAATTTCAACAGACAAATGTATTTTATAAAGACCTAACTTTCCAAATGTCTAATTACTCCACAGAAAATCACTAAAAGCTTTACCCCTGAAGAATCACCCAACTTCAACAATAAATACTGAATAAGAAAAGGCAGGAGATATTTTCATGCAAATAGCAACAATAAATAATCTCAGTGAAATGCACTGAAGAAAAGTAGGGAGACAAATACCAAAGGTCATGTATTCTCCTCTGACTTGCAAATAGTTGATCACATTTCAAGGAGGTATTTCTTGTATGTCACAGAGTAGAAACAAATATTTCTTATATATTTCAGCAATATTGCCATTGTCAATTGAGATGTGACCCAACAAAGTACAATAAATACCAGAATGGACAAATTCTGACAGCCAATGGAACTTCTTTCACAATATCAAGTTCTACATCTTAATGCATTAATTAAATATTGAACTTCCTCATCCCTTCCACTACACAAAGGCTAGCATCAATTCACACAAAATGTGCTACAGGTTTCCTCAGAATATTTGCAAATACCGATGCATCCTTGCATTCTTTTAAATATGACAGACTTCCTGGCATGTCTTGGTAAAATGACAAAAAGTATGAACTTTCTTCTTTTAGAGAATGAAGTTACATAAAAAGAGTGAGCAAGGTATTTGAAGAGAAAAATAGATCTTCAGATTGCAGTTAGTTATTGTTCTACATTCTCTGAATAAAAACCTCTTAACCAACAAAAAGCAGAATACTTGTATGTCATTTTTAGTACATGAAATGACAGCAATTAACATAATGTTTTCAGAAGATCAGTAAAAAAATTTCCCATTTTTTCTTACCCACTGATTGCTAAGAGATTAGGTTAATTCAGGTAAACAAGAAAAGGGAGAACAGAAAATAAATGTAACTTTGTAAATGAGAGAAATGTGACTAAAAACAACAAATCAAAACTACTACTGTTTTTCACAGAATACTGAAACCCCATGCAGAACACATATTAATCAATTATTTGCTCAAATTGCACTTCAAAGAGCAAGGTTGTTGCTTCCACAGGCATATAACAGGGCAGGTATAGCAACCTACAAAAAAATCCCTAAAATAGTCCCAAAACTTGCTGTAGGAGAAAATAGGAAGTGTAGAAGGAAAGTATTTCACATCCAAACATAAGGCCTACTAGAGCTTTCTCATCAGAAAAATTCAAGTCATTTCTGCACTACCATGTAACATCCATGTGTTGTTATATAACAAGGAATTTCATTCTGGGCAAATTTCTTTATACAGATCGATTGAACCAAATACATTTTTAATAAAATCTCACCAGTTGCCAACTCTACCCCTCACTGACAAATAAACTAAAAGTACTGAGTACTACAACTGCTCGTTCTCCAGTCATAGTAAACTGTTCACTGTCTGCAGTACCACGACAATACACCTCTTTAGCTTCAAAACATCAACTTATTAATGAGTATTTTAGGAGAAAGAAGAGAAAAGTTTTTTCATGTTTAATGATGTCCCACAGGGGAATTATTATATAAGGGTCAAAAATGTACCCTAGAAGGAAATGTTTCCTTAATATCTTATTATCCTAAGTTCATTACTGCAGTAAAAGGCCATCTTTATCTCTGAGCAATATCACATAAGCATCATTTTTGTCATTAGTGAAACATCCAGTTATCCGAAATAATTTTTAGATTATTAGAAAGATTGTTACTGACTTTTCAACAGGCATATACTTTTTAATAGGCATATACTTTATATTGGATATGAAGCTTTGGGTTTTCCATCAAGTAAAGGTGATCACATACTTACTTTTCTGTCTGGCCAATTATATTTTGCAAATATTGTATCGTACGTGTCCACAGCTCCATCAGTAATCAACATTATGGCTTGGCTGCAAATACTTCCTTGTCCTGTGTGATTGAACTGTGAAAGGAAACAATCATTTAGTTACAGCACATTCTTGTTAGACGAAGACAGATAGGATTGCACTGGATAAACATGGATCTTGTCAAACCTCCAGCATGCTTAGAAGTAGGTGACAAAGTCTCAGGTTGAAAACATTTTATCATAGATATCATGTTCTTACTGAATTGTAACTTCAGTGTTATAACAGACTGCAGATTCATTATACATCCCCATTCTATCAGCTTGAAAAATGAGAAACAAACATAAATTTAGCACTTCCCCAAATTGAAAGTGTATTCCCCTGTTTTAGATAGATGGTATGTATTATTGTATCTATATAGGGCTTGCTTTGACTTAAATATAATTTTAAAAGAACAAGCTACGCAAAAAGAAGAAAAAATGATGACTGATAATTTTCCTGGGAAGTACAGAATATACACCACTTACAGGGAGACATATGACTATTCATATTCACTCAGGATTACATTCCATATGTTTTTTCATAAAATGTTTATCTGGGAGAACCAAGTTAATATTTATATATTCTCAGGTTCTCCTATTACTCGAAATAAATACATATAAGTAATTCAAGCTGTTGTACATCAGTACTCGAGCACAAGTACTTCTCAATCAACACATCCTTTGGCGTATGCAAAGAAAGTTTCCTCGTTCCACAAATGGGGTTTTCCCCTGGTCAAAGAGCAAGTAAATTAGACTGAGTCATGACATAAGCTTTGATCTCTTGCTTCTGGAGTTAGTGCCTTAGTTTTGAATCTATGTGTCTCCATTTGCTCTTATTGCAGAACAGATTCTTATTTGTCTGTGTATTATTTTATATATTTAAGGAACTTAAGTGAAACATCTGTCTTTTAGCAACAAAAAAAAAGCAAAGTTGGAAAATTATTTCATTTTTAATTACTCTGTACAAACACTAAAAAAAAACCACCTGTGAAAAGATCAATAAACTGGGGCATTACATACAACTCTTTATAGATTGGGCTAACATTTGAATACATGCTAATGAATGAACAACCTCAGTTTGTTCTCTTCCTCTGCAGTTTTCAGGTACATTACCAACTTTGAGGTCAGACAAGGCCTCATCCTACCACCCTTCTCTTGGTACTGAGAAAGTCAAGCAATAATTACCCTGTCCTGCCTCATCAGCCTATCTGTGATGAACAGTGTCCAAAAAAGGGTGGTCCCATCTGAGAAGTAGTATTTAAATTTAAAGGTGAATTACCTTGCAGGGACTCTGACTGCTGCTGGATTCAACAAAGTTTATTCAGAGTACTCTAGTTTGATTTGGGCTAGCAACTGCTCTGTCTTTAAGCTTTCTACAGTCTACTTGCCCTGACATACCTGCTGTTCTCCCAAAACACTGAAAACCCTTTTTTCTAGAAAAGAAAACCTTTTCTAGAACAAGGTTCCTAACTTCCAAAAATGTCATCTTTGTAGACGTGCCTGCAGTAGGAAAGGGAGTGGATGGTGGGTTTCAGCAATACTCTGTCCTTTTCTTCTGCCTTTGCATTTCTAGATCCGAGTAATCACATCCATAAATGTCGTTCAACAATCATTTATACCATCTGCAGCTCTCCTCCAGATCAGTTTCCTTTTGAGCAAACAGGAACCTCAGTGAACAGTAATAGAAACATGTTGCTTAAAGAGAAACTAATGTGGATTTACAGAGTTGGCTCTGTCACTGCCTGTGTGAAAACTCGTATCTGTGATACCTGCAAGGCAGTCTATCCTTAAAATTCTTTAGTCATGACAGTTTTTCCAGTATTAACTAGACCAGAATTATTAAAGAGGGATTCCTTCATTAGTATGATCTTAGATCAAATATTTTCTCATAAAGATGAAGTTACTTTGTTAAGGGATATATTCATCGTATGGACAACATATTTTGCAAGAGACAAAGTATATTAAAAGGGAAATTAATGAAGGGGGAATGCCTTTAAATATTTATTTTAAAACATAACTCTGTATGCATCTGCATTATTCTAAGTAGTTATCTATGAATATTTTGAAGAACGAGACTAAATTCAACTGCTTTGATGAGTAATATCTTCTCACATTTGCCTAGAACTTCAATTTTATTGAATAGTGAGAGTGATGAAAGAATTTTCCATAACAATAACAATGACAAGGGCCTTATGATGAGCTACAATTAACTCAGTGATTCACCAGTTAGCAGCAAAAATTTCAAAGCATCCTGACATTTACAGCATTCGGTTGTGATTAACAATCTTTGAAATGTCACAGAATTTTATTTAATTGGTTATCATTTTTTTTAAAGGTAATCACTGCAAAGACTACATTTGTCACCAAAAGAGATAATTGCAGTTGTCACATGACATAGTAGGTGCCTAACTACTGTATCAAGCACTTGTACATTCTTACACTGTATAATGAACACTGCATAAGTTGATGATTGGAAAGAATTTGGAAGTGGATTTTTAAATATGCTTTTCAAAGACATCAGTATCAACCACCTTCAAGCCTGAACAGCCTAGGCAAATACTGAAAGGTAATTGCAAGGCAAAATTAGCTAAGTTTAATTAGTGTAACCCTTGAACCTTTCTAAAATCCAACCAGAATCTTAATAGAATATTTGTGTAAAAAAAAAAAGAGCTTTTTCTTTTTCTTTTTCTTGCCCCTTCCCTCTCCCCCTTCTTTTTTTTAAATGTAGGCAAGACATCGTTAGCTAACCTATAATTCACAAGAATAGATTTCTGGCACATAAAGGTCACATCCTGTAGACAATGCAGAAAATGGTTAGCTGTATTCTTTTAAGGAGAGATTAAGTAGCTTTTTCTCTGGCCTAGGCTGCTTAATAGAAGTTCCCAGAGACTTTGCTGATATGCCTGTATATCATGGAAAAGATTTTTATGCTGTCAATTCTGGAAGTATATATGCAAGGAGGCTTGAAGCTATTATACTCCCTTTTATAGTATAAATAGGAACAGTCATTACTCCACCTTGAATAGATCTGAACATACATGTAGCATGATCCATCATGACCTTACAGATCAAAAGACCCTCACTCATCATAGGTACAGTTCAGTACATGGGATGTCAGTTCCCTTTATTCTAAAAACTATCAGCTTATCAAATGAGATTTTTATACCACATTCATCATTATAACCTCAGTTGCCTCACAGATTTTAAAACAAAACAAAAATCTCATCTCAGGTTGTCTTCCTCACTGTCTGTAATGCTTTTTTCCAATTTACATAGATTTGGAAGACTAGCATAGAAGGTCTCTTTCATTGAGGCTGGTTGCTTTTTATATTGTGTATCTGTTTCCAAAGAAACAGATTAATTGCCCATTCTTAATGAACCCTCTACAAACAACCTAGAGTGTTCTTTACTTCGTGCAGCTTTCCCCATTGTCATTTTTGGCATGCACCACGTGAAAGAATTAGTTTCACACTGTCTGGGTGAACATGTGGGCAGTGGGTGAAGATCTTCATCTTTTCATTTTAGGATATTATGCCCAGAAAAGGACTGATCAACATTGTGCTTCAAGGTGAATACGAAGGAATTGGAACCATTAGTTAACCTAAGATCTTACAGTATAAAGACAGGCACACTTGTCAAATCAAACCCTTTAGAGAATATTTTGGTTTGAGGTCTCATTTGCAAGGTACATCCTTCAATCAAAAGACAGTTTACTACTTATTTTTTATGAGATTTTCTTTTTCCAGCAGACTAACAGATTTTAATCCTTTTTCCCCAAGAGAAAATACTTAAGGAAACACTTTAAAATATTTCCATGAATATAAGCTCAGTTGAAAAAAGAGAAAACAAGAAGGAAGTGGAAAAGGAACGGGGCGGGGGGGGGCGGGGGGGAGAAAAAAGGAATTTGCTTGCCGTGTTTGTGACTGAAATATTTCTTTCCAGAACAACACTGGTAAATATGAGTGACAATAATAAAGTTTCCAAAATCATCAACTGGCATAGCTCAATCTTTATCATCTGTCAATTCATGAGTTGCAACTAGTTTGTCTGTATTCTTAAAATCCAATTGAGGTTAGTTAGGATGCATATTAATTCTACAGGTACATGATTTTTAAGACACGGGATGTACTAAGACTAGACAAACTGAAAAATAGGTTGTCCGGGAAGTGTTAAGCAAAAAGAGAAACAAAACTGTTTTCCTTACATGAAGAAAGCTCAAGTCAGAATATGCCTTAAATTGCATTTTTATTAAAAGTAAGTGTACTATAATGATGTTTTTCTAGCTTTCTTTACTAATCCTTACTACGCTTAGTAGTAGTATAGTGAGTTTTACTGAATTTAATTTGTGAGACAGGAATTAAGTCCCTGTAACTTAACTGAAAGAAATGTATCTCAGTTTAAAGGAGAGACAATGTAGTTTTTTAAATGGTGCCTCTTTTCAGAGCCATACTTTGCGTAGAGAGGAAGGATGACTTGATTTCTAATAAATGTATCCCAGTCAACACTCCAAGGCATTGTTCAAATTGAGAATGATAAAGCAAACTAGTCCTGGATCTGAACAATCAAGCAGCAAGATAGGGGGTCTAAATTATCAGCCTTAAATTTAGGCTCTTCTGTAATACACACCTACACTAAGAGCAGTTATTTGGAGCCCATAGACATAGAGTTTGTAGATTTCTTGGAAACATGCTATAAGGTTGTCAGGAGGCCAGTTTGGCTCACTGAGAAAAGATAAGCAGAATATGGTACAGACGTTCAAGTAATATGTACAAAGCATTGATTTATTTATTTTTGAAAGCTTGACTCTAATTTCTTTTTATCTTTAAAGCTGATATATATACACACACACATAAATATATATCTACTTTTCTGGATATGAAGTGTGAGTCTCTCTCAAGGACAAGATATTCTTAGAAAGAAACACATAGTGGATTTACTTGGAAGTACCCATCACTAACACTAATATTATGCAATATTAACTACCGCCAGCTGGACTGCTATTATAACAACCATATCAGAGGAGATGTGTAGACAAACTAGAATGCCTAAATACACAAGGAACTACATTCTCATCATAACACCATCAGACATTTAGTAGAAGGAACGGATGATCTAAAAAAACATAGTCCTTACATTTCAACCCAAGAATTTGGGCACCAAATCACTACCTTACTTTTGAATCTCATTGCAATCTCCTTTTTTTGTTGCTGTGGATCAACCTTTAAAAACCTTTAAGTAATCTTGTTTGAAAAAGTCAAAGCAACAGAAGATCTTGCATAATCTCTTTTAAAGGTTACTTAAAAATTAAAATTCCACATAATTCTAATTCACCTGCCAAGAATCTGATGTTGCTCTGCCTTTCTAGATGATACCTCCCACTTCACTAAAAAGAAAACAAAACAAAGCAAAAAAAGTCTTCCACTACACATAGGGGTTCTAAACCAGGATCAACTCACCTCTTAATCTATTTGGATTATTAAAAAGAATACATGCATAATCTTTAAATATTTTCTTTTCTTTTTTTTAGTAAAGAGAGGGGGTTTCTGGAGACACCAAAACATTTTCAATCATATTTTAAGCTGCTAATATTAACTGCAAAAGAAAGCCATAGGGACTGTTTTAATAGGCTGAAGATGCTTGCTTGTAACATCCAACCACTTAGCAGGAGTTGGTCCTGTTGCAAGGTGTTTAGTCACTTTTACTGACTCACTAATGCAGTTCAAAGGTTACCAACAAGATGCAAAGAACAAGGGTTTGGCCTCCTGTTAAAAAGAGTGAACTTTGGGCAAGATGGAGCATTCTGAAAGAATCCACAGAAATAGAAATTTGCATTTTCTTGCCTTAGAAAATGCTAGGTGGGGATTACATATAGCATCATTCTGAAATAATTTTACAGCTAATATTCCAGGTCTAGATTTAGATTGGTTCAGGTTTAGATTGGATATTAGGAAAAATTTCTTCACCAAGAGAGTGGTCAAGCATTGGAACAGGCTGCCTAGGGCGGTGGTGGAGTCACCATCTCCAGAAATATTCAAAAAACTTGTGGATGTGGCACTTTGGGACACGGTTTAGGAGGCATGGTGGTGTTGGGTTAACGGTTGGATTTGATGATCTTGAAGGTCCTTGCCAACCTTAGTGATTCTGTGTCTTAGAACTGGAATGTTCTGGGATAAGAGTTTAAGTTTCTTTAGGACTCATTGATCACTAATTGCTAGCATTTCACCTTGGGGCTCTTGGTACTGGGACACAAATGAACGTTTGTTTGTTTTTCTCATCAGTTTCCTGCTTTCCTCAGTCTTGAGGCTAACTGAAGTACTTCACATTTTCCCCCTCAGTATCTGCTTGGGCCTTTGACATATTTGGTGTTTTAGCCCTTCACAATGACACTTGATACGTATGTCTTGCATAATGAACTTTGCTGGAGCTTTGCGATATAGCAGTTTACAATTTTACAAGTGCTCATTAGATCAGAGATCCTGGAGAAGAGATCTGCTTGTAATTAGTTATTTTTAAAAAAGTGAACGCTTTCCTTTACAGAAACCCTATATCTAAACTGATATTTACAGAGGTTGTAAGCAATGGCTTTAGTCCTACCACATCACCTAGGGTTTTCATTCATAATATCATGAGAAATATTTGATGGTGGATTTTATTTTCATTGGTTTGCTCCCTCATCCTAATTCTCTGTCATTACTACTACTGTTCACTTTTCTCCTTCCTTTTGTCACTTTTTCCAATATACATTCCCAAGAAAGTATATAGTCAGCTGAATCAAAACACTGTTAAAATTGTTGTTTGCTGGAATATGTAGCATGACAATGTATTTTACCTTTGCCCGAAATTATATAAAAAACCAACTCTGAAATACACTACATAAAATCATTTCACGATAGCTACTAAGACTGATGTGCACCTTGCGAGGAAAAGCATTTCAGGCAAAGACAATGGGTCTGATTTCAATTAAAATATCGTTTGAAGGACAATTTCCTGGACACCTAAGAATGCTACACTGATTTTATCTGGAGTTTGAGAGGGAAACTAGATGCCCTGCACTAGATTATCTCCATGATCACGATGTTCATCTTCTAGAGATTGCATTGCTATTTATAGATGCTATTCACAGGAATGTTATCAAAAAGTTGGCCTCATGTTTTTGGCAGATAAATAATTGAAATAACATTAATACCTCTGAGCTGCTTAGAAAAGGCATTACATTTTTTCTTTTATCTTCAAGTATTACAGAAGTAAGTAAAAAAGTGTTCAAATAACTTATTTTATATAAGCTATGAGAGAGATTGTCATGCCAGAAGTCAAACCAATGAACAATCATTTCATGACCCTAATAACAGTGTGTATTCACAAAGTGTTTATGAATACACAAATTCCTGTCATTCCTAAAATGTTAGCACTTCCAAAGAAAAAAAAAAATCAATCTAAACTGTGAAATTTGCATGTTACCCTAGTATTTTTTACATCTAGAACAGCTACTGACATAAACTTTAATACAGACATGCTTAGATATATACTGTATAGAAAGACACAAAATACCTTAATATAAAATGTATACATATAAAAATGTAAATTTCCTTGTCTTTTACCACATATAGATTATATAGAATTCTTATCCTGTAGATAATATTTTACTATCACCACATTTTTGAGTGAGTTCTAGTCCATTATCTTAAAATTGACAGTAATTGCTGAATAGCAAGAAAGGTGTCAGCAGTGTAAATCTGAAAAGCATTAACTTACTTCATTGAGCATGTTGAAAGCTTCATTTAAAGCAATGTCCAGCATTCCAATTCCTTTTGCAAAAAGTTTGTCAAGGTGTTCCCTGAAATGCTGAAACATGAACAAGGAAGTTTTATTTGTCAGTATATTGTTATAACATACACGTTGACAGCAATGATTAAGGATTTCTGCATTCATCTTTAGACCTAATTCTTAAGTTTAAATGGCTGCATACAATAATTCATAAACCAAAGTAATTCCTGGTTGATTCTTTTGACTCTTGAAGTCACACTAAACTAAGGATGTGTTTGAACAATAGTAATGCGAAGGTATCACAAGATATGTTTTTGGCTAGTTTATTCAATCAAATAATTTTCCTTTGCTTTTTTTTTTTTTTTTTTGGTTGGTTTGGTTTGGGTTGGGTTTTTTGTTTTGTTTGGGGTTTCTATTTAGGCATATCCATATCTTTTTTTCCACTTCACATAGTAATTTTTATATTATTTCTAACTGTTCAACTTCTAGGTTTTCAGGATCTGCTACTTAATAAAAATAATTCTTTCTGAAATTTAGCTTTGAGATTCTATTTTTTGTTATGATTCCTCCCTAAAAGATGGTAGACCCTAATCATTAGGCCATTTCCGTTTAAACGCAGTTTATCAATGTCAATATAATATACAGATTGATAAAGGTCTACTCTACACAAGAAGACAGGCAAGGCTAACCACTTGCTAGCTATATGTGATTGTCTTCAGCATTATGTTGTGTAGTCACACTTAAACCCAATTTTTGCAGTTTTAAATGGCTCATCAATTATGCACTGCCATACTTGCTGGCCATGAGCATGGGTAAAATTTTATAACAAGCAGTTAGAGGTGGACAGTTAAGAATTCATCCTATATTTTCCATATAACGTATGTTATTTCTCCAGATATGCAAGAATTTTGACAAATTTCAAAAATTTTGCATTCAACAAAAATATAGGGCTACTGTATAATATATACAATAAACTGTAATTTTTTAGAGAAAGTGCAAACTAAGAAGTGCCAAGTAACACATTTTCAAAACAATGTTAGCACTACTCCTGAAAATGAAATGTTCAGAGGAGAAACAAATTCTTTTACATTTATAAGAAAGATCAATAGATCATTAAAAACAGTATTATGAACCATGTAATCATAAAGGGACACTGTATGCAATATCAACAAACAGGTACGTCAGTCCTCTGATTTTCTAGGATGGAAACTTTTTTTTTAATTATTTCATAAAATAAAAAGATATTACAGCAGTATATTGCAGTATAGTTGAAACAAGAAAATTTACGTCGGAGCCTCTAGGCAATTCCGACGCCACAAAAAAAAAAAAAAAAAAAAAAAAGGCTTGTTTTTCAAAACAATGTCTTCATAGTGACCTAGTAAATGTGGTTCATTGTAGGTCAATACCTTGAACAGCCAGAAGGCGCAGTCTTGTTCATCTAAATAAGCAAGGTTAGCATAAACACCCATAAGGCTAGACTGCAAAATAGTTCTTTTTTTCCCCAACTTAAACATAGCTAACTTAAGTAAATAATAGGTAATACCTTCACAGTACTAGTAAATAATGTTTAAAATACATTTTAAAATATAGTAATTAATTTGTAACAAGAAAATGAAGACATATGTGGTGGAAATGGGGGCGAGGGGGGCGGGAAGGTAATGCTTTTGTAAGCTTTATTTCAGTCTCCACAACTGGATTAAAAAAAAAAGAATATCTCAACAGGTTAGTAAGAGGGAATTTTTTTATTTATGAGTCCATTGTTCTTAAAGCATTATTATAGGCAAGAAAATCAAATCACACCATCTTTGTAGAAGAATTAAAATACTATTCTCCCTTGCATTGTGTCATATATTTTTTACAAGTAATAATGAAAGTAAGAATGAATACAAAATACCCAAATATTCAATAAATCCATCAACCTCTCATTATTCTGTAACTGGCATCATTTCAAAATATCTCAGAATGGATCAAATAGGTCCAAATTGATCACAAGCCATATCAGCCTATTCTTGACTTCAACTAACACAGCCTGGAAATTGAGAGCAGCAATGCAAGGATGACACGGCCCTTGTCTGGGAAACTGCCAACTGTTAGCAGCACCGCACAGCACAGCATGTTTTCCATAGCTATTTCAAAACACAGTAACTGACCAACAGTCAGATTCAGAGACTACTGACTTCGGTACTCAGGGTGACTTTAATATGTGTATGGCCATCACTCCATATACAAAAGGAATAACTATAGCACAGGACTGTTACAGTCATTAAAGCTTTTCAGAAACTCAGAAAATACAACCATTCTTCATGAAATATGTAAAGTTCATATGTATTTAAAATTGTTCCTTGGAATTCTTCAAAAACTAAAATATATCCTGTTTATAAAATTCTCCAGGAAACATCTTAGCAAAGCCAGTCTTATATATAGCTGATATTTTTAAACAGAAATTGTTGTTAACAGTTCAAAAATACGGAAACCAAGCAGTTTACTATTGTTTCATCAATGTCAAAAACAATTTCGTAACATCAAAGTTATGTGTGGACCATATGTTTTCAAGCTGCTGAAGCAGCCCTATGGTCACAGCCCATCTCTCCCAGATACATGGAACTAAGGTTAGTTTACCGTTACCGCAGATGCTTCCCTACTAACACAGGGATTCACCCCAAAACAGAAGAGTTCTCTGACAACTGATAAAGCCAAATTCTTGTATTGGAAATAAGTTTCTAATCTTACCTGTTTATAAACCAGATATGTTAAAATATTTATTACACCATATTTCTCTTTGGAATACATTACTGCATAATTAAAACAGAATTAGTTTGGTATTAAAAAAACACAATGGTTTATAAAAATCTCTGAACATTTCAGAGACAAGTATTGTGGAATGTTTATCACAGTGCATATACATTATCAAGTATGAACAAGCAGACTAAAAAGACTACCAAAAACTACTAGTAAACAGCGTAATCTCTAGTGTGTAATTCAGGTCATGTGATCTGCCAAGACAACAAATAGTTTTTGCTTGCCATATCTATATACAGGTTCTGAAAAATACCCTGTTGATATATGAAGAAATATAATAATGATGTTTGTTTGATACAAAATAGTAAAAAAAGTTAAAAATAGATTTCATGCACAATGAATTTTAACAAATCAATGTTTTCTGCTTCCAGGCTTCAGAGTGAACAGATGCTACAAGGTGATTCTGGAAAAGGATTAAATAAATGAAATGCTTGTGTGGTTTGGTCTTTCTTTGTGTGGAGGGGGTTTATGTTTTTTTATTTGTTTTTTAAACCAATTTCAGTACTTTGTATGTCCACTAGAAAAATCACACAACAATATGCAAATTAATGTTTCTTTGTTTCCCTTTTACCATACTAGATTTCCTGGATATGTGACATTAATTGGATCCATGCAAAAAGAAATCATGTTTCATTTTACAGGCAGCACAAAGAACAGCTTCCTCAGACTGTTCACTCTTCATCCAGCTGAGGCTGTTTATTATTAAACGTTCAAAATGTACTGCTGTACTTTAAAAGGGTAACAAAACAGTCTCTATGAAAGAGTGGTACCTTATTCTGACTTCAAAGGGCATACTATTAACACAACTATTATCTGTCATGCTGTTGTTTTAAGGAAAACTTGTAAGAAAAAAATCCAAATATCCAAACATTCATTTTTTCCTATTCCACATGTCCAGTCATTACAGCAAGGCCCTGCCAGTCATGCTAGCGTGCCCCCTTTATTACTAGAAAAAGCATTTTTAAAAGCGCTGTAAACTTTGTGCATGAGAAAAACAAAGTTTCAAACTAGTAAGCCTCTCAAAATTTCTCTACAACTTGCCCACACGTCTCCAACTGCCACTCAATAATTTCACTCCTTACAAAAGCACTGCAAAACAGAAAAGTGTATTTCAACCCTACTAGTAGTGAAAAAATGTCAGGGAAAGACATTAACCGCTGAAGTACCAATTTAAAAAAGAGTAACTGATTTTGGAATGAGGTAACAAACTCCTCAGTTCCATTTTCAGTAACTTTCAGACATCAAGCAGGTCCCAGAAAGCAGGAGTCTCCTGCTCTTAGTGAGTCAAAAAGCACCTTTTAACCTTTATGTCTTAAATAGCTCTTTTTAGTAATAAATTGCACAATAAATAACATTGGTTCATCTCAGCTTCTTTTTACTGTCCTATTGGAGCCCTTGTAGATTAATATCTGAACTTCCTGGAGTTTGAATTGGACATCTGTCCAACTGTGTGCACAAACTTTTGCATGCAACTGTACATCTAATTTCCATGTGCAAGTACCACAATGTGCAATATCTAACTGTGGACTCAAATATCTAATTGACATGCATAATCTCGGTAATTCTGAATGCAAATTAGGCACACAATTATGACAATCAGACTCTGATGTCTGATTACAAAATTATAGGGCCAGAGCTCAACAGGAGAAGTTGTGTCTTACTACAGTGAGGAAGCATAGATGTGTTCAACTGTGGAGGTATCTATGACCCATTTAGAAATGGTTGAAAAACGTGAACTCAAGAGAGTGAGAACACAAATCCACTTGTGCATGTCAGCCAGGACAAGGTCTCTGCATATATCTACAAGGGTTCAAACCAGCATATCGGTGATGCATACACTTGGTCTTGTACCCTTGCATGCTGCTGATTTTGTCCGTTTATAAAAACTATCCACTGTCAAAACTAGAAAGTCCCAGTGATCTTAACATCTGATAATAATCCATGTATGCAAATCAAGAAGGTTTTCTCCTTTTCTTTTTAAACTGTGTAAAGTTTGTTAGGACCCTCTAAGAGTCAGAAACAAACCAAAGAATACATTTGATAGACCTAGAAACAGGAAATGGATTCTTGTCTTAGGTATAGTTACAAACATGCCTATTTGAAGAACAACGGGGTATACCGACACTGCTTTTCCAAAGATGAAAAATAATATTCACATGCTTATTTCTGCCTAAAAATCCAGTGGCCCAACTTGGTCTATTTCAGAACTTCAATGAGGGCGAACATAGAAAGATTTTTTCATTGTCTTCATATTCTATGCTTCATGGGATAGTTATACA